CTTGTGACCAAGTCTTATGGTTAAACCTAATTAACCCTAGCTTTTTGTGGAAACCCTAACTGAAGAAATAGCTGCTATATATTCAACAGGACTGCTGTTTGGAAAATATCTCTTTGGACTGAAGATCAATCAGAAACTGTATAGTTTTAACTGCTGTAATCCAAGCAATTATCATTGTGATAAGTGACTTGTAATAGGTTTTGTTTGTAAGGGTTTTTGTACCACTCAAAGCTTTGAAGCAAGAGTGTTTTGTGTCTCTTGACTAAAGCTTTGAAGCAAAGTCAAGTTAGGTTTATGTATCACTCAAAGCTGTGAAGCAAGAGTGTTTGTGTTACTTGATTAAAAAGCTGTGAAGCATAATCAAGTGTATGTTTTGAAGAGTGTCTTCATTAATTCATTAGTCAATTGTTTTAAGTATCACTTCTGTGATTGAGGGGGAGTGAGTAGGAACTCAGGTTTAAGTAGAACTTAGATTGAAGTTGCATTGGGTAGGTCTTAAGTGAAGGAGATAAACTGGTTGGTTTATTCCTGAATTAATATCTCTTATAGTGGGTTTCCTCCCTGGCTTGGTAGCCCCCAGAGTAGGTGTTGTTTCACACTGAACTGGGTAAACAATTGACTGTGTTCTTTACTGTTTTTGTATTTACTGTCTTATAGAAAGTCAGATATGGTGTCATAACATTGACTGTGACATTGAGTATCTGCAGCCAGAATTTCAATTGGTATCAGAGCAGGCACCCTGCCTGTATTACTGGGTGAGATCTAGGGATATCACTTTCTGGTACTATGGACAAAGAAGGAGTTTTTGGAAACAGACCACCCATTCTGGATGGATCAAATTATGACTACTGGAAACCTCGTATGATTGCCTTCTTAAAATCTCTGGACAAAAAGGCCTGGAGAGCTGCTGACAAAGGATGGAACCATCCCACCATAACTGATAAAGATGGGACAATCAGTCTGAAGCCTGAGGAAGAATGGAGTAAAGAAGAAGATGAGTTAGCCCTGGGTAATTCCAAAGCTTTAAATGCCTTGTTCAATGGAATTGATAGAAACATATTCAGACTAGTACATCAATATGAAATGGCCAAGGAAGTTTGGGACACTCTCAAAACTACCCATGAGGGCACTTCCAAAGTAAAAATGTCAAGGCTTCAGATGCTGACTACCAAGTTTGAGAATCTAAAAATGATGGAAGATGAAACCATTCATGAGTTTCACATGAACATCTTGGAGATTGCCAACACCTCAGGAGCATTGGGAGAAAAGATGTCAGAAGAAAAACTGGTGAGAAAGATTCTCAGATCCTTGCCTAAAAGATTTGCAATGAAGGTAACTGCTATAGAGGAAGCCCAGGATATCAACAAGTTGAAAGTGGATGAACTCATTGGGTCTCTTCAGACTTTTGAGATGGGGGTCACTGAAAATATTGTCAAGAAGAACAAGAGCATAGCACTTGTATCCAACACTGAATATGAAAACAAGGAGGATGAAGAAGAAAATATTTCAGAAGCTATAGCCATGCTTGGAAGACAATTCAACAAACTCATCAAAAGAATAGATCCAAAGTCAAGGTCTAATGTTCATAACATCCCCTCTGACATTGACAGTTCCAGCAGAAGACCAAGGTCAGAAGAGAAGGGAAATCAAGGCAGAGGAATTCAATGCCATGGTTGTGAAGGATATGGGCATATTCGAGCTGAATGTCCTACCTTTCTTAAGAAATAAAAGAAAGGAATGACTATTACCTGGTCTGACTGTGATTCAGAAAGTAATTCTGAAGAAGAATCTGCCAAACTAGTTACTGCACTAACTGGTGTTTGTACCTCTGAAAGTGACACTAGTGATGAGGAAGTGACATTTGAAGAACTGGCTGATACTTATAAGAAATTGTGTATCAAAAGTGCTGAAGTCTGTGTGCAGAATGAGAAACAAACAAAACTCATCATAAAGTTGGAGGCTGAAAAAAGGGAAGACCTTGAAACTATAAGTCATCTAGAAGGGGAAGTTCAAATGTTGAACTCAAAACTGAACCATATGACCAAACCTGTCAAGATGCTGACAAATGGAACTGACAAATTGGAAGAAATCCTTCAGGTTGGACAAAATGTGGGAAACAATTCTAGTCTAGGATTTGTGGCAGCAAAGAAATCTGGTGCAGACAAGAAGATCAGGCCTGATAAACAAATGTCAAAGCAGATGTCTCAACACAACTCTCATCATCAGGAACAGAGATATATGAAGAAAATGTACCAAAGATGGAGATGTCATCATTGTGGGAGGTATGGTCACATTAAGCCTTTCTGCTTCAGATTGTATGGATACCCTAATCAGAACCCAAGTGTTAAACCTAAGTCTAAAAGGGTACCACATACTCCTCAATGGAAGAAAAAGGCTACTGCCCTGATAGCCCACACTTCCCTAAGAGTCTCTACAAAGGAAGACTGGTACTTTGACAGTGGGTGTTCTAAGCACATGACTGGAATCAAGAACCTTCTCAATAATGTTAAACCTCACACCACTAGTTATGTGACCTTTGGAGATGGTGCTAGAGGTGAAATCAAAGGAGTTGGTAATTTGGACTGCCCTGGAGTTCCAAATCTGAATGAAGTACTATTGGTAAAAGGCCTGACTGCTAATCTCATTAGTATCAGTCAATTGTATGATCATGGATTCAAGGTCAATTTCTCAAAATCTGAATGTCTTGTAATAAATGAAAAATAAGAAGTTGTAATGAAAAGAGTCAGATCTAAAGACAATTGTTACTTGTGGGAGCCTGAGAACACTAATTTCTCCACTGTGTGTTCTATTTCTAAAGAAAAAAAAGAGGTGAAACTGTGGCACCAAAAACTTGGCCACCTTCATCTAAGAGGAATGAAAAGGATTATCTCCATGGAGGCAGTCAGAGGGATTCCAAGACTGCAAATTGATGAAGGGAGAGTTTGTGGTGAATGTCAGGTTGGTAAGCAGACTAGGATGTCACATCCAAAGTCAAGACATCTGACCACCTCTAAAGTTCTAGAACTTCTTCATATGGATCTGATGGGACCAATGCAGGTGGAAAGTCTTGGTGGAAAAAGATATGCTTATGTTGTTGTGGATAATTTTTCCAGATTCACCTGGATTAACTTCATTAGGGAAAAATCTGATGTATTTGAAGTTTTTAAAGAACTGTGCAAAAGAATTCAAAGAGAAAAAGAAGGGTGTATTGTCAGAATCAGAAGTGATCATGGCAAGGAATTTGAAAACAGCAAGTTTGATGAGTTCTGTTTCTCAGAAGGAATTAGTCATGAATTTTCTTCTCCTATAACTCCTCAGCAAAATGGAGTTGTGGAAAGGAAAAACAGGACCATACAGGAATCTGCCAGAGCAACGATACATGCCAAAAGACTTCATATGTATTTTTGGGCTGAAGCTATGAATACGGCCTGCTATGTCCATAACAGGGTCACCTTGAGAAAGGGAACCTCATCCACCATATATGAACTCTGGAAAGGAAGAAATTAATTTATTTTTTCAAACGTTTATTATATTGTCAAATAGTATTTGGAGTGTATGTGTTTCACATAAAACAAAAGATTAATAGCATCAAATTAATTAAAATTAGTATGAACTGAATCAAAACCTGTTTTATGTTGTGTTCTTGAACAGCAAAGAGAGCAAGGTTATTGATCTCAACGCTGTTTTGTGTATATTCCACCACATCACTAGTGCCACCTAAAGTTGCCATAACTAATTTCTTTCTCTTTGGATGTGTTTTGTTTTGTGTAGTTGTTTTATAGAGTTGTTGAAAGAGTGATTAGAATTTGGATTTAGGTTAGTCAATAATGACGGTTTGAATTTTTTTAGATTATTGATTACGCTACGTGTTACTAATTGGATATTATTATCTTTACGTTTTATTTTATATTATTTCTGACTTAGAGAGAGAGTAACCAAATTGATAATATGGAAATAAAGTTTCTTATTGAAACAATGAATGATTACCGGCAAATCATCATTTGACACTAAAAACATGGATAGTTGATCAGTTTTTCTTCTTCTTTATTTTTATGAATGGATGGTTGATTTGCTAGATAACTATATACACTTATTTTAAATAGTATTAAACTTACCTTGACGAATACTTGATAAAATATTAGTATTATCATGAAATATATATACGCATCTTATTTATGACATCAATGTCTCACTCAAGTGTATCTCTAATAAGTAAGTTAAATAAGTCTAAATTCGGGATGTCAATGAGTAAAATATAAGTAGGATATTATAGTATTTGTTTTTATATATGTCAATGGGTTAAGAGAAAGCCTAATTAATTTCTCAATAGTTAGATTTTCAGTGTCAGCAAACATATTTATACAGACAATTCATGAACTCAATAATAATTGGTGCAAATTTCGACGCAAGACCAACAACAAAAATTATAGATGGCGAAATTTGTGACGTCACGTCGAAAGAACGGACGTGATACGTTAAAAAACGAGCAAGTTATGAATTTTCGAGTGGCGAGAATATTTGTTACTGACACTGTCTTTTATCAATAATGTAGAATTTTTCACTGATCAATTTGAGATACGAGCCATCGAACAAAGTCTTTGGAGTTGAATCTGAACTCGAGCTCTGAAGAAAACTTGTAGCCAACATCATTTGTGAAATTATGCCGAAAAAACCGTCTCGATACGATAAAAATCGAAGAAGTTATAATTTTTACAATATCAAGAAATAGTAAAATAAAAATTCAATTCAGCACAATATTTTCTCTGATAATTCACATTTTCGATAATCTTCTTCAAAAAATCAGTCATCGGCCCGTACATACGGAACTAAGATGACATCAATATTAATCCTAATAAATTTTATAATGTATTACTCAATAATAATTTAATAAACTCAAACGTTGTCCATTAATATTAATAAAGATAAAGCATTATACATTAACTTGTTTTATACAAACATCAATAATAGACCAACTATACTTAGCATATTTATACATAGATTTATTCATGTTTGGCATCAACCAAACGATAATGTGGTATTGCGTGCAAATGTTGAGCTCTTGGTGCTGTGAGTCCGAATTTTTCGTCCATGTTCAAATTGGAAGGACTAATATTATATGGAAGTTCCCAGTTAAAACAATGCACCAATTGAGCTACAACCAACTTAATAGTAATTAAACCCATTTGAATTCCAGGACAACGCCTACGGCCAGAGCCAAATGGTATAGATTCAAACTCATGTCCTTGATAATTCATTTTTTTGTCAATAAATCTCTCTGGGTAAAATTCCTCAGCATTTTCTGACCAAATATTAGGATCTCTACCTATAGCCCATGCGTTTACCATGACTCGTGTCTTTTTCTCTATGAAATAACCATCAATCGTGACACTCTCTCTAGATTCACGAGGGACTAGTAAGGGCGCAACAGGATGAAGTCTTAGGATTTCATCAACCACTATATCAAGGTAATTCAACTTCTTCAAATCCTTCTCTTCAACCATTCTCTTATTTCCTACTTCATCTTGTATCTCATTTTGAAGAATTTTCATCACTCTTGGATGTCTTAATAGTTCAGATAAAGTCCACTCAATTGATGTAGCGGATGTATCAATTGCTGCCACTATCATGTCCAGTAAAATAGCCTTGATGTTAGTTCGATCAATGACTTCTTGATTTTGTTCACTCTCGTAATCAATAGTTTGATGCATAATTGAAAGAAGTATGTCTACAAAGTCTTCAGCACGAGTTTTGTCTACATTACATGTTTCTTCATGCTCTGCTATTATCATCTCTAATATCTCATCCAGTGTTTTACTGATTTTCTTGAAACCTCGTGTTATTCCCTAACAAAGGAGTTAAATTAGTCTAAAATACCAATTGTTAAGTTAATAGTTTTACTAAACAATAACCAAACCATAAAAATCAGAAGGAGAAGGAGTACATGTACATACCTGAAGATCAAATACTCCTAACCAAGGAACATAATCAGCTAGATTAAAGGCTCCAATCAAAGTCAATCCTTGTTGAACCAACTTCTTCAAGTCAAATTGCTCATACCTACTTCTACCTAATATCATCTTATATATAATATCTTGAACAAGATTTTCCACAGCCTCACTAACATTTACAACCTCACCAACCAAAGCAGCTTTTTCCAATGTTTTAACCAAAACACTCAACTCATTTTTCCTAATAGGAGCAAACATGTCAACTTTAGAAGCACTAAGAAGTTTTAAAGTGCAAAATTTCCTTACACTGCGCCAATAAGGACCATACTCAGAAAAAGCCACCCCTTTGGAACCATAAGACATGAGTTCAGAACCTTGAGTCTTTGGCCTGCTTGCAAAAACTAAGTCGTGTGTTTTGAGAAATAATTCAGCTGCTTTTGAAGATGAAATAATAATAGCTGGGACTTGACCTAGTTGTAAAGACATGATTGGGCCATATTTTTTAGAGAGTGTTTCAAGTGCTCGGTGTGGAAGCTTGCCTAACATGTGAAGGTTTCCGATTATAGGTAGTGTTGGTGGACCTGGTGGCTTCTTATGATGTAAGGTATTTTGTTTTGCACGAAAAGAGATTTTGGATAATAGGTATATGAAAGTAAAGAGAAGGAAAGAAAATATTGCTATTGTTATTGCAGTAGCCATGTTTACTATTGAGTGGTTTTGGTTTGGCGGATGGTTGAGGATTATATATTGTGAACTCGAAACTAGTGCTATACATGTGCTTTTCTGAAATTGTCGACCGTCTCAATAATGAGATAATTATTATGGGGGAGCGCACTCTGGTCCCTAGTGGATTTGTATCTTCTAGAAGTGGTCCAAGTGTTTTTACAATGTTTCATTTTTATTAAATGGATGTTAGACTAAGAAAAGCGTGAATGTTTTTTATTAATAATTATGTATTAAAAAAAAATTTCGCAAATAACCGCGTTTCGGAAAAAATTACGCAAATAATCATGTTTCGGATGACTCCCCAAAGGAGGAGCCATCTGAATTGGCGCATGCACCCATTTTTTTAAGGGGATGCGCCATCTCACTTGGCGCCTATGTCCTAAGCCAAGTGAGATGGCGCCTATGTGTTATTTTAGGGCAAAATGTGATTTTTTTTTTTGTCTGGTGCGTTGCGTGTTGGATACAGGATCAACAAAATGGACTTTTTATTATAAAAAAAATAATTACATCCAACTGTATTACATTAAAATAACAGATAAAAAAACGGATAAAAAAATACAGGAAAAAAAAACAGATAAATCAGTGATCCCCCGGAACCCGGTAACGTCCCCCGGTTCCGCATCCCCGTCCTCGCCTTTCTCGTGCTGGGCGTCGTCGCGTTTCCTGCTGCGGCAAGGTCGATGGCCCAGCGAAGTCAATGCGGTCTGGATCCATAAAATCAGTCAGATCTCCATATCTAGAAGATCCGCTTTGGTACAGTCGGTTACCCATACCCTCAAAGTTTGGTCGTGTTGGCGGTGGGTGGGGTTCCATAGTGGGTCTGTAGCATTGGTCGTCTGAGTACGGTGGGTAGAAAGGAAATGGATCTTGGGGTGTTTGGTATTGAGGATGTTGGGTGGTTTGGTGATATTGTGGTTGATGGTAGGCTGGGTCGGTTTGTTCGTAATCTTCCGACATTCCCATATCAGGGCTAAAGCTGGATGTTGAGGGGCCCATATTGGGATATACGGAAGACTGAAATTGTGTGTGGGGTATGCGGGTGTACTGGTATTGGGATTGGTATTGTGGTTGGGTGTGAGGCATATCGGGGTATTGGTAGTGTGGTGGTGATTGTGGTTGGTTGTGTGACATTTGAGGGTAATTGTGTTGTGGTTGGGTGTTTGTGGGTCTGTTTCTTCTTGGGGGGTGGTGGGAGGTTGATGGGTTTTGGGTTTGTTGTTGGGGAAACAAGGGTTGTGTCCATTGTGTGCGTGGGTCAACCAAGTACCTTGGATGAGACACGTGCATTTCAGGGTTACTAACTGACCTGTACCAAGACAAATATTGATCCGTGTGTCGCATATTACCTTGATTAAGGAAAACCGGGAATTGCAAGACATAGCGGTGACGCCTCTGCCACATCTTACACCATTCTGGAGCGAAGTCTTTCCAGTTGGTAAGACTCCACTGGGCGTCGACCCTTTTAAGATGCCATGGGGACAAACAAGTTGGATCACTTGGTATCTCTTGATGCATTCTGAACTGCATCTTCACACGGTCGCTGTGGTGCATCTCCACAATGTTGAACCGAATGATTGCAGTCTTCGCGGTCCAAGTTGCTGCATCCTTCGGGTTTGGATCATGGCCCAAACCCAAATATGGTCTCCAGACGAACTGCGATAAAATTTAAATCAGGTTAACGCAAAAGTAATGTATAAATAATTTAAATGAATAAAAGTTAAAAGCTACGACGTACGTCATCCGGGCCTAAGTGATCCAACAGATTACGGTATAGTGCGACATTGAATCTTGGATTCTTGCCGTAATCCATACCCCTCACGCAGTACCTAAAGGAAATGAAAAACATTTTATTCTTAGCATATATTTGGGGAAGAGATGAATAGTAATAAATGCTATAACTTGATGACTTACTTTGTTGCGTACGGGAAACTGAAAGTGTTGTTGTTGACGGGGTTTAAGGACTCCATCCTCCACCAACCTCAGGCTTGTAGTAAAAAAGTGCACCCATAAAATGTACATTTTTCTTTGACTGCATTTTTGCACAAGGAACTGTATAGATGGGCTAAAACTGCAGAACCCCAACTATATTTTCTTGTTTTTTCAAAATTTCTTAGTAAATGTAAATACATAAAATTTACACTATTTCCCGTACTTTCGGGAAATAAAAAGGTGCCAAATAGTATCATAAGATAAGTTCTGGCTTTTACTACCCTGTCATTCTCGGAGGAATTTTCGTTTAATTCCAAACTTGCATAATGACTTTTCTGCTCAGTGAGTAGTATTCTCTGACCTCTCGCACCACCACCTTCTACCATATCCCTGTCCAACAGTTCTTCACAGTGAGAGTTGGGTTATTGAACCGACCCGTTCACGGCCTTACCGTCGACAGGGAGACCTAGTAGCATGTACACATCCTCTAGCGTGATGGTACATTCACCTATTGGTAGGTGAAATGTATGGGTCTCTGGTCTCCACCTTTCCAACATTGCAAGAATGAACCTCGAGTCAATGGTGCAGTTGGAGATCTTTATGACATGTCCAAAACCTGCGTATTCCAGATATGGTACGATAAATGGGTCGGGAGCCAGGTAGTTGTGAGAACGGATTCTGAATCTTTTTGTGTCCTGAGTTCATAATGTAACATGTGTAATGTTAAGTAAGACGAACAACGCATTATCTGAAGTATGAAAAATGTATAACCAAAATAGAAACTTACAAATGCGGCAATATTTTCCCTTGTGCCTCTGTGAGTATCGCCCATTGTTAGAAGAGCCATTGTTTAAAATGCTTGAGATTATGAAAGACTTAGGAAGAGATAGAGAGTATGAAAGACTTAGAAAGTGTAAGAGATTATGAAAGATTTCGTAGCAGAGACTGAGACTTGTGTGGGTGTGAGAGATGTATGATATGGTATGTATTTATAGGAAAATAAATTTCATATAGTGGTTGCTGGTGCTTGCATGCATGCGAAGTGTCACTCTTGCAGGCTAGGTAGCAGCCTAGGGGGTTACATATATGCATGCATGCATGTACAAAAAATGAAAGGTGTCACTCTTGCAGGCTAGGTGGCAGCCTAAGGATGTATCACGATTGGACAGTAAGGGAGGCGCCATTGGACTTGGCGAAAGAGTACAAAAATGAATGGTGTCGCCACCCCAATTGGCGAATAAGAGGTGTCCTTTGTTGCATGCTAGGCTCAGGCTACGTGACAGCCTTTGGGATTCCTTGCCTGAATGCATGTAAGCACATTGAAGGTGATGGGAGGAGACTTACAACATACAGTATAGGTGCAGAGTAGGCGTAGGCTAGGTGGCAACCTAGGGGGTTACATATCTGCATGCATGTATCACGATTGGACAGTAAGGGAGGCGTCATTGGACTTGGCGATAGAGTACAAAAATGAATGGTGTCGCCACCCCAATTGGCGAATATGAGGTGTCCTTTGTTGCAGGCTAGGCTCAGGCTACATGACAGCCTTTGGGATTCCTTGCCTGAATGCATGTAAGCACATTGGAGGTGATGGGAGGAGACTTACAACATACAGTATAGGTGCAGAGTAGGCGCAGGCTAGGTGGCAGCCTAGGGGTTACATATCTGCATGCATGTATCACGATTGGACAGTAAGGGAGGCGCCATTGGACTTGGCGAAAGAGTACAAAAATGAATGGTGTCGCCACCCCAATTGGCGAATATGAGGTGTCCTTTATTGTAGTCTTGGCTCAGGCTACGTGACAGCCTTTGGGATGCCTTACATGTAACACTATTAGCAGCCTTGGGGGTTGCATCCTTACTTAATTGAAATTTTTAGTCTTACGTTTATCAAAACATTCATTCACTTAATCTGTCAAATCTTCCAACCTTCAAACGTTCTTACAATCAAACCTTCAAACCTTCAAACAATCAAACATATAAACTTTCGAATCACTCATAAAGTTCAAACATTCCAACCTTCAAACCTTACAGCATTCAAACCTTCATACAATCAATAAACCTCAAACATTCCAACCTTCGAATCACTCATAAAATTCAAACATTCAAACCTTCAAACCTTAAAACAATTCTACGCAATGGCCTCTGCACCATAATTTGTCGTCAAAGCACATTTCAACGGTGAGACATACATTTGTCCCACCGCTGGGTTTTTGTTTAGAGACACAGACAACATCTAATTTCTCTTAAACGGGAAAGCCAATTTCTCGTACTTCAAAAAAAGATTGGAGGCCAAACTTAAACGAGGCCCGGTGTCCCAGATATTTTATCAGAATCCAGTTTTCTTTGGAAACAACCAAGTAATTTTTTATAAGGTTGAAGTTCAAGATGACGAGGATCTCCAGAATATGTTTTCCAGCCATGTCTATTCTGGGTACGACTCTATTGAGTTGTACGTTATGCTGCGAGAGCCTCAGGTGACACAAGAGGTTGGTCCTTTGGAGAATGAACAAGCTGAGGTAGATGCAGTTGATGATGAAGAAGAAGATAACGAGTTAGAGTTTGATAAAATGGTGAATGATGATTTCGACGATGATGGCATCCCTAGTATTCCTGCAAACAAAATCTACACACCACCTCAGCACATGACAAACTTCAACATGGGCGGAGATGAACCTTCTACTGACTTATTTTTCAATCCGTATATGCAGTCGGATGAAAATTTAAAAGAGAAGGACAAGTTTCGTAACAGAGAGGAATGCATCAGGGCCATTAAAAAATTCCACATGCTCAACTCGGTTGATTTTAAGGTGGATCGTGTCAACCCGGAAAGGTACAAGATCAAGTGTGTCCACCCTGACTGTATGTTCAAGCTGACCGCATCATACAGATTAAGGGGTGACTGCTGGGTCATAGGTTCCATGACTACCCACACTTGTGTAAGTTCCACTCAATCACAGGACCACCGAAAACTCAACTATGATCTCATCTGTCAAGAAATCCTACCCCTGGTCAGCAACGACCCATCTTTGAAGGTGAAAACA